TGTGCGTGCATGCACGCACACACACATGCACACGCACCAATATTTTGCACCATGGTTAAGAACAGGTGGGGGAAAAGGCCATAGAAGAGTAATGAAGGTGGGAGTTACTGCTCTCAACTATATCTAGATGTTTGCACACGTCCTGCATCTTGGTCTATTGTTGTGGGAAAGTATTTTAAGTTTCTAGGCAACACTATCAAATTTCTAGTTGCTGAGGTATTTCAATCTATTTCTTTCTGATCCTGCACTCACCGTTAGTCCATCAGTATGTATGAGTGGGTGTAATATGCTGTATATGTGTATATAATATATGTGTATGTGAGTGTGTGTGCATGTAGATAGATTAGCATGTCTGACTTCTTTCTTGAAACATGCATCAAACAAGGTTGCACGCCAAGCAAATAAGATAGATAAGTAAATGCTGTTCTCATATGGACTACTCATAATGTAGTCCAAGTTAAAACAATTCTAGTAGTAGGGCTAGACAGCACTTACCACGAGCTGAAAGCTTTTTGGTGTTTATGATCTTGGCAGCATATTCTTGTCCTGACAGCACTTTCACACACCTCCTGACAATTGAGAAAGCACCTCTGTAGGAAAGAAAAAAACAATTTAAAATATATATGTGAGAAGTTTGGCTGAACCTAGCATATTTGACCCCCAGAGCTGATCCTTTTTTAATACCTCCCTCCTTCATTGCCAAGAGCCAGTTTGGTGCAGTGGCTGAGGTCTTAAGCTTAAGCTCTTGAAACCAGAAGTCTGTGTTCTAGCCCTGCCTTAGCCACACAGCCAGTTGGATGGCCTTGGGCCAGTCAGGTTTCTCAGCCCTAGGAAGCAAGGATGCTTCCAAGAAGGTGGCCCTTGTAGGGCTTCACAGGCACCAGCCAGCACCTCAAATTGCACTCAGAAACACACTGGCCACCAGTGCAGCTCCTGCATCAGCAGTATAATGTGGCAGTACTGAGATTGGCCAATGAGCACGCAGGGCAGCCCCATGTACAGTGAATTACACTAATGTGTTGGGGACATGACAAGAGCATGTGTGGCTGTCCTGAGAACATCCTGTTCCAGGTAAGGTCACAACTGATGAACCAGTCAAAGCTAGGCAGAAGCCCTCCTGGCCGTGGCTTCTACCTGCTCCTTGATCAGAAGCCAGGAGGACCTCAAGTACATGGACCTGCTCTCTATGGGAGACCACAACCCTATCAAAAGTCAAAGATGATAGATGATACAGTCCTGGAATCAGAAGGCATCTGAATTAACAGCATCTCCAGCTTACTGTTGTGGTCTGTGAGAAACAATGCCATTGCATGGACAAGTCCCTGCAGTTTTCTTGGCAAGGTTTTTCAGAAGTACTTTGCCACTGCCTGCTTCCTAGGGCTGAGAGAGAGGGATTGGCCCAAGGCACCCAGCCAGCTTTGTACCTAAGGCAAGGTTGGGACTCATGGTCTCCCAGTTTCTAGTTTGGTGCTTCAACCACTACACCAAACTGGCTCTCTGGCACTACACCAAACTGACACCATTATTGGTGGATACCAAATGTTTTGATATTTGATATGGATATTATTTAATTGTTTTTACTTGATTGTTGTTGCATTATTACTTATTTGGCTTTAGATATTGGATATATTTTTATGCTTTTACTGTTGCAAATGAATTGTAAGGTCCGGCAGTATACAATGCCTTCTCCTATTATTGTTTATTAAAGATTTTAGAGCATTGTGGATCCAGTTCTGGAACTGATCTATAACTTATGACTAGTAACCATCAATAGCCGAATTCCCCTTTAAAGCTCACCAAGTGCCAAATTTGAGGAAACCCAGCATCCACCAGATACTTATCAAATTTTGTCTAATAGCTTATAGGCAGGGGGGCATCTTACTTGGCATCAATACGTGGGTAAGCAAAAAAGCAAGATATAAGAGAAAGTGGCTGCTGTGGGAGGCCTGGCTAATCTTAAAATGGCTCCTGTCAAGATCTGTCTAATCAGGAAAGAAAAGCAATTTGCCTCCCAAAACAAAGTTCAAAGCAAAAGCTGAGTTTGAATTGCAAATACCAACCACATATTTTGTTCCACCCAGCACGGAAAGAAGATCAGAGACACACAGCTTGCCCACGAAACTGAAGACAAGGCAATGTTGCTGTTGAAGAAATGATAAGCTAACTATTTGATTACCCAGAGAAAAAACGAAATCCCTGTTTATATCAGTTTTAGGATCATCCTTGGATATAATCTCTGTTCCTCACACGCATCCTACACATTTCCATTGATCCATCCATTATCATGCAAGCACAGACCCTGTTTACCCACCATCTGTCTCTATCTCTATCATCTCCATCTCCATCATCGTCTCTATTTCCCAACTTTTGTTCTCCACCCTTGTTCTCAATAGTCTGTTCTACTCATCTTCTCATTCCTTGTGGGTCATCTGTGGCCCTGTAATAAAGCTAGCACAAAAATACCACCCCAAAAATTGGAAAGAAATTATGAAGCTCCCTGAAAAAATGAGGGACTTCTTCCATATGGGAAGAAAACTTTCAGGAAATTGGGAGATATGATTCTGCAACAGTATTAGTACTAAGAGCAACATAGCTGAAGCTCCAGTTGCCATCATCTTAATATCCCTAGAAATATCACCCTCTGGGGGAGATGGGCGGAACAAATTTAATAAATAAATAAATAAATAAATATCCCATTTGAGATCCCATTTTAATGGATTGCTAAGAAATGGTCGGTAGGTCCTTAATAGGCACTGTGAAAGGACTTCACAAATATCATGGTTTTTCCAAGAGCCAGATGCTGTTCACAGGAGGGGAAACCTGAGACAGGAAATTGAGAGGAAATTACTATTTATGTATGGATCACAGCAATATCTTGCTCTTTCTCCAAGACATTTTACACCATAACCCTGTGAAACTGAAATATGGTGTGAGGGGGGAAGCTTTCCCAAGCAGAACCACCTGCATCATTGAGGGGTGCTTTCTGTCTGAATTCGTCACACACTGTGCCAATACCTTGAGACAAAAGTGGGAAAAACTATCTTGAGTACAGATGTTAGGGATGTCTTTCCAACCCAATATGGCTGACATGTATTAGATCCAACCAGGGATATATTCCCACTCAAATGACATTTGAAGGAGAAACTATAATGTCAAAAGAACAAGAAAAAAAATCTTCCTATTACAGAAAGCAACAACTTGTTTCCTGCCATCAAACATTTGGCATATTCAGGATTTTTTTTTTTTTACATTGTCTATCCCCCACCCCACCCTCAGCAGTGACTTTTTCCACTGGTGGAAAGCATTAAATACCTTCTGTCTTATCAAATGTCTCCCAGCACAAATGGCAATATGTGCCAATAGTTATGCATTTTAATGAAAGAAAGAATGGTGCCAATATTAATTTTGAAAAGTCCACACTAAAGTTAACTTCAGCTTTCTCGGTAAAGGTTATAGAATATGGTGACTCTATATACCCACGCTAAAATAAAAATAAAATTACGCTATTGTTTCTGGATAATACAGTTCTGTTACCATTTTATGAGTTTCCTCAAGGAACTGTTTGGTTTCCGTTATTTTTCTGAATATAGCTAGAAGCATGTCAAACTGCAAAGGCAAACCAAGCTGTTAGTTTCCTGTGGAAATTCTCTATTGAAAGGGACACAGAACTAATCTTCACCAAGGTCATGCAATACCCAACATTCCTCCACTTGTCCCTTAATCCAACTTCCCTATCCTAACTATAAGTAAATTGGTTTCCAGAGTCCAAAGGATGCTGTAAATGTAAAATTGGTGTCTGCAGGGGAGAATCAAAAAAATTAAGATGGTAGCCATGACTCTACAAACAAAGCTCCACCACTCTTTATGTGTGTTACACACATGATGCATGTAAAAATGGGTAGGGCTTCAATCACACAATCACAGCCATCATCTTGATTTTTCTGAGCCTTTCCCCAGAGGCTCTTGATACAAAGCCTGGGCATGGCCCTTCCATGATTATCGTTTCTGAATCTTTTCTCATCCAACCCAATAACTGGATTAGAAACCTCTGAATTCAGGTGCATGGTCACTCCATCCTTTCTCCTGAGTAGTCCCTCCACTGGATAATATGTCAAATGATTTCAGATGTGTTTCACTGAAAACAGCAGTAGTTTCAGGTTGGGGAGAGAATGCCTTGGGGTTGGGGTCTCTAACTGGGCAGTACCACACACCCCTAAAATGATAAATGAATAAAATTGGAGTTAGGGTTGGGTAAGAAATAAATAAATTTTACTGTATGCTTTTAGTAATTACATTGTAATCTATATAATCAGCAGTTCTCAAATTTGCAGACTTGAACTGACCACTGCAGGCTTATACAGGCAAAATGAGGACCAAGCCTAAAGCTGGTTTTGTCCATGCTCCCCCTTTGGCTCCACAAGCTGAATGGAAACACTGTCAAAACACAGAGATCCATCCAAGTTGCTTACAGCCCCCTGGGAATCCCAACTCATCATTTAAGAGCTCCCCTGCTCTAGCATTATTGAACTCAATTCTTCCCTTTGTTTGTCTTCCAGAAGAGCCTGATCCTGGAAAATACAGTTGGTCTGCTCCAGGCACCTGATGGACTCTGTTGAGTTTCAGAAGGAACTTGGCATCATTCATGAAACTCTGAGGCCCTGATTGCTGCCTGGGAAGTAAGTGTGGCAGCAGTCTGGAATTGGATCATGCTTCTGTGGACTCTCTCTGCACAGAGATCCCAGGAAGGTTCCTCTCTGGGAGAGTGGTGCCTGGAGCAGATGCCTGGAGTGCCATTGGAGGAAAACAAAAAGCACATCTGATTAAGCCCTGGTAAGAACCTTTTTAAAAAATAATTACCTCATTCTGATAAGAGTAGCAAGATGTAACTATTTTCCCACTCTTATCATGTCCACAGGTATCCAGATGGCAGCCCTGTCCAAGGTGACTCAGCCTTTCCTAGGTTTGCAGGGTTGCTGTGAAGATAACTGAGGTATCTATTGGATAAAGTCACACTGAGTTCGACTGTAGTGACTCAGGCTCCTTGGATTGACTGACACATGGTCTACTGTGGTTACCTGGGAAGAGTTCAGGCCTGCTGATCCTGATGAAGTAGGCAGGGTCCTCAGGGCTATAAGTGCAGTCACCTATGTGTTAGCTCCATATTCCTCTTGGTTGGACAAGGCATCCAGGGAGATATGCAGTTAGATCCAGATGGTAGTGAATGTATCTTTGAGGGAGGAATGGTTCCACCAGCTCTTAAAAGTAAGCAGTCCATTCCCTACTCAAGAGACCATCTTTGTGTTCAACAGCTGTAGGCAATTTTTGTCCTGTTGCTAACCTTCCCTTTTTAGGGAAAATTGTTGAGAAGGTCAGTTTACAGCTCACAAAGGCCTTGGGAGAAACAGATTATCTGGAGCCTTTTCAGGGGGTGTCAGGCTGAGACATAGCACTGAAATTACATTGATGACATTTGGTGGGACTGGGATATGGGTTTTGGCCCTTTCAGTGGCCTTTAATACCACTGATCATGTTATCCTTCTGGATCAGCTTTGTGGGTTAGGAGATGGGGGCATGATCTTGTGGTGGTTCT